AACTCCTGACATGTAATGTACTCAAAGGTTCTCCTTAAAACTATACCAGAAAACAAGTGTGTATGCCTGAACTCTGTTCTCAGCTGCGGCAGGCTTAAAATAAAGAATACAAAACTGAAACTCTCCATTCATTTAACACGATACAGTGCACACAGACTCCAATTTAAAAAAAAAAAAAAAAGAATCCAAACCAACAATAACAAAAAGCAACACCAAAAAAATCCCCCCCCAAAAAAACCTGCATAAAATTACAACTGAAATGGTCTACCAGTGTCCACTTAAAAGACATAGTAGGCGAAACTAAGTTTCTTTACCTCCCAGTGAAGTCAACAGGAAATACGTACATATTTGTGTGTGCAATACTTGAGTATACTGTCCTTAATGGCATGACAGAAAATTGTACAGGGGAAGTGTTAATCTATTTTAAGTCAATATAAAAGAAAGCCTTCAATTATAATTAACTAATGAAGCTGGAGGAAAAAAAATAACAAAACACAAAATCAGAAAAATCACCACTACCAAGTAATGTAGTAAGACTTTCCCTATTGCATATAAAATGAATAATACATGTGAATCCTCAATTTTTAATTTAGATATCTTTAGACATATTATATATCACTATGAGTTACACATATCCACCCATAGAGAGAGTGAGTACAAACAGGTGCACATGACAGAGAATAGATGGAAATTTATTAATATACTACTCTTTATATAGATGTTCATTATTCCAACATGCACATGTAAAGATCTTTGAACTCCGAATGTTCAACTATGGTCTTCAAGGAGGAAACAAGAATGGGAAGCAGTTTATAAAAATGCTAGTGCTAGAATTGTGAACTGAGCTTGGTTGAAAAATGATACTGTATACATCGCTCAGAATCAAGGTCAAAAGTGAATTAGGAATCCAGGCCCTGAGTAATGAGGGCTTAGCACTTAGCAGAAATGACATGCCCAGTTTCCAGCTCAGAAGTGCCAGCTGACCTGCCAACCTAGCATTCCAGATCTGAAAGGGGCAAATCTCTTTTCCTAGCTACAGACGAGATGTGTACTACTAATTATTGCTCGTAGAGGCTTATGATGAATTACAGTAGGATACTTGTCTGGAAGCCAATTCTCAGCCTAGAATTCAGGCAGCCCAGGCGATGTAAATCTGTCTCACAAAAGTAATATAAGCAATATTCTGAAAGAAAGGTCTTTTGCTGAAGGGGGATAGAATGGGAAAGAAGCAGTCTGACCATGCTATCTAACATACACTCTTCATTTGAGCTGCAAAGAGATTTAATACTTGATTGTACTGGAGGATACTTCCAAAGAAAAAAGTCAGTAAACCAATCCTTCTGCTCAGAGAAAAACTAAGAAGATGAATATATTGAAGTTATCCAAGAGGCCCTAGAGTCTAGTGTTGTTGATTAAATTAGACACCTGTTCATTTCTGACCTCTTCTGTCTTCTGAGAACACATGTCAGCAAAGTCTTTACATACTCAAATTAACTCTAAATATTTGCAGCAGTTTTTTTTTTTTTCTCCTAGTTAGAATTTTCTCATCATTTTTCTCATTTCCAAATCATTACAAATTAAGACACAAATGCCTACACGTACAAAGTATGCAAACACTGGACTATGAAGTCGAAAACTGTTGTTTATCCTGTGATGTTGGCAATCTTTGTTCGTTCAAAATACGAATAATTCTGAAGACATACCTAAGGTATATTCAGTCCTGTATGAGGCGCTCATCTTCCCAGTGTTATACACAAGACATGACACTGGCTGAAGCACTATTATTAAAGAGAGATTAAAACAGCTGCATATTATGCTGAAGCACTTTTTACAAACAGACGGTCCTGGATTACAAGCAGCACTTGACCATTTAAATCACTACAACAACCAGATTTAACCAGCTGGGCCATATTCTCTTAGGCAATGCCTGTTGACCTCCACAGTCACAGCTGCTCAGATGAAATTCTCATTAGACAACTTATTTTCAGAAGCCAAAGGACTCTGATTAAATATATCTATTTAGACACGATAAAGTCTTTCAGTATATATTTCTTTTCCAATGCTATGAGGTACAACAGAGACCACAAGTAGTATATACAAGCCTAACAGATACCTAGTATCTGAAGATATACCATAAAACATTTAAGTATTTGACATCAGCAATTCATATTATTCAAATTCAGGTCCTCTAGATGGACCAGAAAGTTACTATATAATAACATTAAAAGCGACTTGTTGCTGTACTTGCGTGGGGGTTAGCGCAGATGACCGGAATTCTTCAGTTCTTTATTCCACTTCTAACTCTACAAATAACTTGACCTATGACCGTACGTTAGCCCAATTCCCACAGCTACAACGACAGTCATGGAGCCTCTCCCTATAAAAGATGCTAACATGTACTATTCATTTATTCAAAGGAGTGATGCAAGACTTCAAGCCCACAGATTTTACACAGTAGTATACAGTAGAAATACATGTCTTTTCCCCATTACATTCATTAAAGCAATTATATGATGCTATCTATTTGCTCACAAAATCAGCAGGTGTTTGTCAATTTGGGCCAACAATCTTCTGACAGATCAGGACCTATTACACAAAGGGTTCCTCAACAGCATTGGCTGCATACCATTTTAAGAAAAGAACTTTATAGAAACCTATTTTAAAGGATAGATGTTAAAGAGCATCATGTATGGTACATGTGTGATTAAGCTATTAATTAGGTTGTTTAAAAGAGACTATAGAATGGCAAAACATTTTCATAATCTCAGACCTCATTTCTCCAACTGACTCTCCACTGAGTCAGCTGCAGCACCCACAGTCACAACAAAGATCAGAGTCTTAAAATAGTAATTATTTTTAAAATGTCACTTTATTCCAATCAAATAAGTATGGAGAGTTTAATTCTTTTTAATTCAGAGAAACCTCTTAGTCTACACAGGAGTTTAAAACCATTGAACTTCCTAAGTGTAACATCCTGAAGAATTTCCAGTCTTCCTATTAATGATTTTTTCGTGTTAGTTTATATGGTACCAGTCAGATGTTCATTACTTACTTTCTGTAAAATGGAAGTGATCTTTTTTTCCTACAGAAAATGCTGGATGAATTGAAAAGAACTTAATATGAAGATACAGTCAATTACCTTTGAACTTACAGGCAGACTTTAGAATAGTTTTCCAGTATAATGTGGTCCATAAAAGGCAAGATTATTTTCTAGATCAGAAATTACCTTTATTTCACAGCTGGTGAGAACATACAGCACAGAAGGCTTAGACTCAGTGAGAGGGACCTCTCTGCTGTGCACACACCTCTCTTAAATCAACTAATGTATACTAATACAGAGGAAGTGCAGAAAATTCTGGAGAATTCATACAAAAATAAGCTATGAAATGCTTGAATCCTTACAGTAAGATACTATGTTTAAACTTTTTTATGCACATTTTTATTAGCACACCATTCAGTATACTTCTGGAAAAGTCTTAGCTGTGGTGTCACTATAATCAACAGCAACTTGTATACTCCTGCAGCAAAGTATGAGCCAAGACCTTTGATTAGCATGGAGTGTCGAACGACTGTTACTGACTGTAAAAAAACAACTTTGCCAAAGTAACATTTAAAATAGTTTTCCTAGTCTAACCACAAAATCTAAGAAAGCAATTTTTAAAAGAGTGATCTTTACAGCTGAAAACAGACAGATGGTAGTAAAGAATCTGGGACATTCTCTCTTTAGAGATGTTTCACCAGCTTCAGAAAGGACACCTATAGAACACATTTATCTATGTGCTGGCATTTAACAATTATGCCAAGAAATTTGAAAGCCTACTTCCATCCCTACATGATTTTATCCCATATTTAAACATACTATTGTATCAGCATCAATTTTAATTGAAATCTGCATTGCTGCATGGAGCCAAGGGATCCTAAAGTGCCCTGTTTGAGGTGCACTATGACCATACCATGAAATTGAGGAGGTAAAATAATTCTGAACTCATTCACATTTCAAAGAAAAAAGGATCACAAAGTTCTACTGCCTAGTGGTTCTACCACATTACAAATATTCTTCCTGGCTTATTTTTAACGCCACAAAACAAGATGGTAAAATAACTGACAGAACCCACACAGATGCCTCCACACCTATATCTATTTCAATCTTCTGCTCTCACATCTTCCCTGGTTCAAACTCATGTATGAGCTCAAAGACTAGAAGGCATTGTTGCAGAAGCCACCAAGGCTTCATTCTACTTGACACGGGGAGAGATTTTCATAGTGGACCCTGACCACGTGCACACATACACCGATAAGCTCATTCTCCAATTCTGTTTAGCTCCTATCAAGGCCAAAATCTTAACAAAGACAAGGAAAATATTTGAATAAGGACGGAATACATAAACTGCCTTAGAGCTCAAAGATTTGTCCTCATTTTTATTTCTCTCTTTTAACACATGTAACAATATGTGAGCAGACTGTAAAAGAAATTTATTTCTTCAGCTGCAGTTCTAGATATATAGGTCAGAACCAGGTACTCTTTACACTTACAACTGTTTCCCACTCTCCTAGCCACAGATGCTGGGTCATTAAGGTGACAAAAGATGAGCATTTCTAAGGCAAAACAAACAGCTCATGTTTTATGAATTCCTATTGTTTAAAATAAACATTTATCTTTCAAAAGAACAAATACCACTGAAGAATATCCCTCACAACTCTACAACCAGTTAAGAATGCACCATAATCGTTCAAGTAAGAGTCGAGTTTTCACCTAAAATGACTCTTGCTTTGACTCACAAACAACCAACACAATTTAGAAAGTTTTTTTAAAATTGCATATTTGTCTAAAATCCCTAATAGATCTCAAACTACCATTGCCATGGTAACCTGTGAATAACTTTATCCTGGTCTTTGCCAATTATGCAATCTTCTGGCTCAATACCCAACACGTTCTTTATCCCATAAAGATTGTAGGGTTTGGGGGTGAGGAAACTCTATTGGTCTTATCCAACACATACCCTCTTGCTCAGTCCTCGTCATTTCTTCTAGTTTCTTCTGCTTCAGTGTGTCCACCACATCCGCAAGGCTTCCTTTGCGGCGTTCTGGTGTTCCAAAATTAACACTGGTCATTAGCTCACTGCGGTCACGACCTCCTTCGTCGGGCTTGTTTGGTGAGGTAGAGGTATTTCGGAAGGAATATAGGGAACATAACTTATTACTCTCTGACTCCTGCAAAGAAACAATACAATGTGAAAATACAGGCTATTCTTTTATGCCAGAAGGATCTCAAACAGGTAAAAGTTGAAAGCATTATTTATTAATCTGTGATACTAACAAGCCTACATGTATCCTCCAGTTTCTAAAATGAGCATTATGATTTGAATTTCTCAGTTTCAGTGCTTGACAGGTGCTCTTTTTTCCTTAAGGCCAGTCCTCCTTATGCTTCTAACGATCATACTTCATGCCTGAGATACTCCTCATCAAGGATTTTCCTTGTCAGAAACAAGCCACTTCAACACTTTTTTCAATGAATGTGTTAAGCTTTTACAGTTTTCTTTAGTTCCTTAAGTAAGGGCAATACATGTAGCACTAAGAGAGAAAATGCAGGCAAGAATAAATTATTCCTGGACAGATCCTCAGCTAATGGAAAACAACATTTTCTTTAAAACTAGAAAAATACTTAGGCCAATAATGACTGAAGAGCAAGGACTCTACCCCACAGTTAAACAAATCTTACAGTATGTGTCTACCCATACTTATTCACTGCTCTTTAAATTAAAACCTTTTCTTAAAGCATGAAGGATATAACGCTTCTAATATACAAAAAGAGATGTTACTTTCCAGACTAACATAGACAAGAATGAGCAAGGAAATGAGTTTATGGCAGAGCAAGTAATGTATACTGATATACATAGGTATTGAGATGACACGTATCAGAGAAGGTGTTATACAGTCAAAAACAATGAGGGAAGTAAAAAGGGTTGATTTCCCTTGTCAATAGATAGCACATAGTATTTGAGCAATAAGCTTAAAAAAAAAAAAAAAAGGCATCAAAAAGCAACTAGTAATGCCAGTTCTCCTTAGTTTTGTGATACCACCCAACAGTCAAGCCCTTTGTGAACTTCACTGGCTTAGACTCCTCATTCTCCCAACCACAGATGCAACATTCGCTGCATCTCTGCTTTCAATCTTTCAGATAAAAAGAGCACAAATTCTTCAATTTGTCCTTAAAAATGCAATGATGGGAATCTCTCGCACACTTCCCTTTCCAAAATTATTATTCTATTTTAATTTTTAATAATAACAGGCTAGGAGTGCTAAAAATTGGGGGCAAATAAACATCAAGGTTTTTTGGTTATGGTGTGCCTAGAAATGTCAGTGTGTATATTCAATGCCATCAAACAAATTTTCTTTTAATTTTAAAGAGTAATAATAATAGTGGTAATATATTTAAGAATTAAGAGATGAATTAAAATAGTTCTATTAAAAAATCATTCTCCCAATACACAGTGTTCCCCACAAACAATAATATTCCTACTATTCTATGAACTGAAAATACCACCTATAGAGTACTGAAGAGACTTCTGTTGGGAAATGTCCCAGGTGAAACAAGGTCTGAAGAAAGATGGACTATTAACCATCGGCAACAACATCAGACATAAGTCTTTGCTGCAGCCTTGAACGGATTAAGAAGCAGCTGTGCGATGTAACAGAATGAGTAACACTAACAATGAGCAAGTGTGGTAACTAAGGGCTATGGACTGCATAAGCAGTGGTGGTGACAAATCGTCATCAAGCACAGCAGTATGATCAGCACAACACTATTACTGCATTGGAGAAAGAGACAGAATTTGCTAGTGATGTTGAAAATGTATTTATTCACTAAGACGGGAAACTAGAAGAAGATGCTATCACATCCTACCAGTAGCAGCACCCCCGTCAACACAGTAGGAGTGACAGAAGTTTTGTAAGCACAGACAGAAAGAGAGGTGACATGGAACAAAAACTTTACCTTCATTGTTTCATTTATCACACATTTAATAATTTTTCATTCCATCCATTTGTATTCATTAAAGAATCAAACATCACAAATGACAACAATATTTTAAGACAGACCAGGTACAGAGTTGAATTTATTTAGTTGCCTTTAGAAAAGGAAGGCTTTCTTATGTTCAATTGTTTCTGAAAACTACTTTGCATTTTTCTTAAACCTTGGTCTAAGTTACAATGGAGATGAAAAAGGCATCTTCTAATATTTTTCAAATTTAAAACTTGAATTTCTAGAATATATTTCCTCAGTGAAGAATTAATACTATAGAACATGGCATTTTCACTTTTGAAGAATACAGTAAAAGAGCAACTTAGAAATTTTAAAAGAGTTTGCTCTCGAGAAAGCAACGTCCTCTTACAGTACACGAAATGTATCCATCAGGCTCAATGCAGGGGTTTTCATGCTCTCAGCAAGGAACACTAAAGCTATTGTTTAGGCCGGAAACAAGAAGATAAGGCTAATCTGTGGAGCAAGTAGAAATGACTGAATGTTCTTCCTCCTGATAACTGATCCTCTCCCTCCTCTAGATGCATTCATGGTCCAGTACCATGCTCCTTCACTGCTAGTGAAAGACTCTTCAAGTCCTGCCTCCATTAGGCAGCACACCCACATTTCTTTTTCTTGCCCGAAAGACTGCAATGTCCATAACGAAGATGTGACAAGTTTAAACTCCATGCAAATGATGTACATTTCTGGAATGGAGGCAGAATGACAGCCTTTGCAAGAACAAGGATCTGTCCAATAATATAGTATTTTATATTGTCAGTTTTGTGTGTAATTAAAATGTAAAATAAAAAATAAAAGAATAAAAGGTATCCCTAATATTTTTGTTCTGTTTGGCCCTACAGCTATTGTATTGGGGTCACTAAACAGCTAATACATTTGCAGTGTATTCTCTGAATTGGCACTCTAAGAAACCAAGTAAGGATGGCTTTCTGGGCCTCACCTTTTTCAGAAATCAGAAATGGTTAAAAACAGTGCCTGA